CTGCCTCGCGCTCATGTGCGTCCCAACCCATGGGGCGATGCGGCCGTCGATGGAATCGTGTGCCCATCGGAGGCACCACACGGGGAGCTCCACCTCAGGAGGAGGCTGAAAATGCGGACGAGGAGTGGGTGGAACGGCAGACAATGGTGAACTGTCAGAGATCAACGATCACGCTGCAAAATTCAACGATCAACGATCGAATGTCACGGGGAGAAACTGTCAAGGATAATGCTGCAACGCTGCAACGAGGTGCGATTTGCGTCGAGCGCCGTGGCGAGCCGGCAAGCCAAACAAGAGCACGCACCATGGTGCTACATACACGTTTCTCCGACGCGCCAGGAGTGATAGCCTACGGTAGGTTCGTGCGGCGTCGGAGCGCGCAAAGGCTTTAGACACCCCGTCGATCGTTCAACCTTGCATTGATCACGGCCCCGATCGTTCAAGGTTGAATTTCGTCGAATCGTGTAGCGCTACCGTGACTCTCGGTGTTTCCGCGTCGTTGTATCATACGGAGCTCAACCTTGAACGCCTTCGCTGGCGTCGCCGGCGCGCCCATCGCCGCATGAACCTACCGTACCAGGGGCATTGCGTATAATGATTACCAAAATTTGTGGGCACATTCAACAGACAGGACTCCCAGCATGCATCGGACGTAGCCCGCAGCTGAGCATGATTGAACATACACTCACACTCAAAAATTTCCCGTACGAGCGCATATCCGCATTATGCCGTCATTCAACGAAATACTATCAAGAGTCTGAGCAACTCAGTTTGCACGACCGTGCCGTCAAGACCTCCGCGTCGCCTCATGTCGGGAACGACCGACTCTGCAACGCGTATGCAGCAGTGGTTCCGATCAGGGAAGGACAGAATCTGACGGCCTCAGACCTATGTCGCCAGCCCCCCTGCCCCAGGCTCGAGGACAACAATTGTCAATCTCAGGAACAGTAGCTAAAAGTGCGGTAACGCTGCGCCTCTCCGGATGCTTCAAGGCAACTCAAGGGGGCCAGCGGCTTGTAAAGAACGTAGCAAGGGGGCGAAGGCGGCAACAACGACAAAGGCGGCGACGAATCTGACAATTAATGCAATTATGTCCGCCTCCGCCCCGGGAGGCAATGAGTGGAACGGCATGAGATTCCCCAAACAATGTTTGCACCTAGGGGTTATTACTTCTGGGATAAGCAATTGGTCATGGGGGTCGGTCTGGCGGCTATGAAGTCGCCGTCGCCGCCCCGTCGCCGCCCCGTCGCCACCTCGTCGCCGCCCGTCGTCTGGGCCTGGGGGTCGGTCTGGCGGCTATGTCGTCGCCGTCACCGCCCCGTCGCCACCTCGTCGCCGCCCGTCGTTTGGGCCTGCGTGTCGGTCTGGCGGCTATGTCGTCGCCATCGCCGCCCCGTCGCCGCTCAGATTCTCCGTTCCCCAGAAAATTCAGATCCACCGCTCCCCATCCCCAGTTTTATCGACACCCCGTGGGATAAACAATTTACACGTGATCTTGCCCCTACTGCACACTCTATATTTGAATTCATACTATCCCAGCCAGGCCCTTATGGCCTCCCCACTTCCTAGTCAAATCAGACTATGCGCACACACGTGTTCATAGACAATGGTTCGTGTTCAAGACTCCCTTGCAACATATGTAACAAAATCGGCACACGCGCGCGTCGTCGCGCGTGCATGCCGAAAGTATTCCGAAACTATGAGTTTCGTAAGGGATTCGAACCGAGGTTCCCGAAAGCATATATATATATATATATAAAAACACAGCGGTTTCGAAACCAGGTGTTTCAACATTGCTTTGTGACATACCCAACCCACTCGCATCAAGTGACAAGATTAGTTGGCCCGCATTGTTATGGATGGCGGCGACGTCAGAACCGTCATTTGTTGCGCAAGCCAAATGGGAAGCGAGCGCTTTGAACGACTCACAGGACAGCAACAGAAGGACGAGGACTCAGGCCCCAGGCTCCAAGAGGATATTCGGGTGGGAACGGCGGGCAGCAGAAGGACGCGATAGGGGGGCCGAAACGTCAGTGCGGCAGCAGCATGGAGACGGCGGAAGAAGGCAGAGGACAACATCGAAAAAGGTAGAATGAGGAAGGAGGTGGCGACTTCCCATGGCACGCTGGACTACCCGCGCAATGTCGTTCTTGCGTTCCAAAAGATCAAATCTGTATAACAAGTGCAAGAAGCGACCGAGGCCTAGCTCACCCGCCAGCTCCTCCACACACACACACACTCACACACACACACACACTCACACACACACACACACACACACACACTTCTTTCCTGCCCCGCAAGATGGCGGGTCCGTCGCGCACGATGGCAGGGACACAATATGCCGTGGCAATTGCCACCAGGCGTTGAATGTGATGGCGGAGGCCGAAGTCGCTGGCCCGCGTGCAGGGGCTGCTTGGAGCCTGGTGGAAGCCACGACACACACATGCACACCCGCACACACACACACACACACACACTCTCACATATACACACACACGCATGCACACACACACACACACGCAAACCTGTTTCCTGGCCAGTTGGTCCAACACAGAGAGAAAGAGTAGAGTGGTCGGTAATGAGAATTACCACCAAACCCCGTCGGTGTGTGGGAGCTGTGCGCCAATTGCAGAACAAAGTGGCAAGCCCAGCCATGCAGCGCAAGCCAGCGAGCGAAGGCACAAGAAGACGCACACACACACACACACACACACACACACACACCCGCAACTCCACACACACACACGACACACACCACACACACACACCCAGCACACACACACACAAACACCACACACACGCAGGCACACAAACACACACACACACACACACGCACACACACACACACACACACACACACACACACACGCACACGCATACACACACACACACACACACACACACGGCACACGGTTGGGGGGCGCCGGCTGTGGCCACCGGCTCCGCGGGCCCGCGCCGCTTCTCGCGCATCGAGACCCTCAGGCGGGGGACCTCCGCCCTGTGGAAGTCGATGACCTCCCCCGCCGCGCCCGCGGGGGCGGAGGTTCGGGGTGGCGCCGCGGCGCACCGTCCAGTCGCCCGAGGGCGGAGGCGGGGCGAGCCGCGGAATGGCCGCAGCGGGATTCGCCGTCGCTGTCGACGCGCAGCTCCGCACAGGCGTCGCGCACGGCATGTGAGGCGAGCCTTCCTGCAAGGTTTCCTCCTCCTCCTCCTCCTCCTCCTCCTCCTCCTCCTCCGCCCTCCTCCGCCCTCCTCCTCCTCCTCCTCCTCCTCCTCCTCCTCCTCCGCCCTCCTCCGCCCTCCTCCTCCTCCTCCTCCTCCTCCTCCTCCTCCTCCTCCTCCCTCCTCCTCCTTTCCTCCTCCTCCTCCTCCTCCATCCTCCTCCTCCTCCCTCCTTCCTCCTCCTCCTCCTCCTCCTCCTCCTCCTCCTCCTCCTCCTCCTCCTCCTCCTCCCTCCTCCTCCTCCTCCTCCTCCTCCTCCTCCTCCTCCTCCCCTCCTCCTCCTCCTCCTCCTCCTCCTCCTCCCTCCTCCTCCTCCTCCTCCTCCCCTCCTCCTCCTCCTCCTCCTCCTCCTCCTCCTCCTCCTCTCCCCGTAGGTATGGGCAGCCCACGGTCTCTAGCTACGGACCACTGCGCATTGCAAGTGCATCATGTAGCCGAGACCGCAGGGGCTATGCGCCCCGTCCACCCCTGATGCGACCCGTCTGGCTAGGGAGCAATCCCCGCCTTCTGTCACCACGAAGGTGGCGATCCCTGCTGTGGCGTAGGTCCCGCACGTCACCCTTCATACGTGGCGATTCGTCCTGCGACGGAGCAGGTCACCACCACAACCTCCAAGGTTGGTGGTCATTTGAAGTGTACTGTTGCAGACTTTCCCGCCTAGTTACTCTTCCGCGATCCGTCCTGCGGAGGAGCAGGCCTCATCCCCTGTCAGCCCGAAGGTGGCGATCCTTGCCGGGGCACAGACCCCTCAGGTGGCGAGTGCTTGCGTCCCTCCACTTGTTACCCGTACGGGTGCCGAAGCGGCACCACGGACACCGTTTTTTCCCCTCCAAAACACTTCTCCTTCCCCGCCCCACCCACCCCCTGTATCCAACCCCTCCCTCGCTCCCATCGGTCCTCCCCCTCCTCCTCACATCCTCCTTCCCCCTCCCCCCCCTTCTCCTCCTCCCACTGGAACTCTGCCAGGACTGCGGGCTAAGGCTGTGGCTCGCACACCCAGCTAGCCTGCGGTCCGTTGTTTCGGCCTGTCCGACTCAACGATCACGGCGGGAGATCTTGTAGCAAGCCGCGCGTCGGTGGCAAGATCTGAGGAATTCTGCTAGGACTGCAGGCTAAGGCTATGCCTCGCATGCCCAACTAGCTCGCGGTCCCTTGTTTCGGCCAGCCCGACTCAACAGCCACGGCAGGATTCCTGGCGTCCGCCGCGCCGCACCTGTTTAGGCTAGGGCCTTCCGCACTGGAACTCTGCCAGAACTGTGGGTTAAGGCTTCGCTTCGCACGCCCACCTAGCCTGCGGTCCATTGTTTCGGCCTGTCCGACTCAACAATCACGGCTGGAGTTCTGGTAGCAAGCCACACGTAGGTAGGCAAGGTCTGGCAATGCCAACCATATCCGCCTTGCTTGCTCCAGCACCACCCCGTCTCGCCCCCCTTCTGGGGACATCCAGACCGTCACGCTCGGTCGTCCCCTCTCCTCCTCCTTCTTCTCGTCCCCCCACTGCCCGTCCCAACCTGAGCCCCTAATCCATTCAATCCCGCTCCCTCTTCCGACCCCCCAGCCCCTAGGGATGGATGCATCGCGCTTGCGCAGCCTGGTCTTGTATACCCAGCTGCGCGTTCTTGCATCTAGCTGTTTGCACCCAGCTGTGCGGTCCTCATCGCCTCCTCCACGCGAGTCCTGGCATCCAGGTAACTCGGCGGCATTATGCTGCATGTGCGGAGGCCTCCCAGGGGGGAGCAGTCCCAAGGGGATCCCTTGTAGCCGGACCCGCTGACCCACATCATCATCCTCATCGCTCCTGCGCCTCCTCAAGGCCAGGCCTCCCAATCTCCCTCCCTTGGCTGGTACATTGTGCATTATTTTGGCCGCACCAGTTAGATTGCCAATCGCGGCATTATTTCACAGCGTCCGGGTCGTCATCGATCCTCGTGCTTCGCTGTCGCTTGGCGACACGGCGACTGGAAGGAAGCAGCGGGAGGGGCCGGCAAGTAATGCTATGCCCTGCTTTGGGGTAGCCCTAGGGGAGGTGAATATTCGGGCCTAGCCAGAAGGTCTGGGCGAACAAATCCTGACCCCCCAGGCGCATGATAGCTTCGGCCACGTTCGCCGGACAGCCTTCGGGGCAGGGAGCGGCGTTGCCACCACCCCCTGGACCACTGAGCTGCCACACCGGATCCGTGACACGCTGGCGCACCGAGTCCGTGACACGAACGCTGTCTTCGAATCCGGCCGACAGAACTTGGTTTTACTTTGTTGCGGCCACCGTGGGCGGATGAACGTTCAGACCGTTACGCTCGGTCATCCTCTCTCCCCCTCCCTCCTTTCCCCTGCTCATCCCAACCTGAGTCCCCATGTACTCGACTCGCTCCCGCTCCCGCTTCTGTATGCCCGCCCCTCGGCAGGATACATCGCGCTTGCGCCACCTGGACAGAGAGAGAAAGAGAGTGAGAGACAGAGGGAGATGGCAATGCAACCCGCCAGAGCGGGGCAATAATTGTCACACGTAACTCCCCCCACATGCTCTTCCACTTCGCCTCCGCCAAGAATCTCGGCATTGATACCACAGCCGGGCAGCTTCGATGTCGCAAGGGGGCGAGACGCAACCTCAAGGTTCGGATCAAGAACCTCCAGGCGCGAAAGAGGCGTCTGGCGGCGGTCAAAAAGGGAGGTGCCGACATGCAGCGCCTCTACATCAGTGGTTTGCAGAGTTATGGATATTACGGGGCGGAGGTGGTGGGCTTGGATGGGAAGGAAGTGTACTCTGCTCAATCCTTCTTCCTGCAGACTGTGGGCTCGACCTGCCCCTCCCGCTCCCGAACTTTGACTCTCCTTCTTCACGATGATCCCACCCACAAGTTGGCGTTGGGTCCCGCTCTGACTTGGGCCAATCTGGTCTGGAAGGCAACTACGTCCAGAAATTTTGAACCTTCTCTTGCAGGGCTGCGTGAACTTGCTGATCCAGTGCTCCATCAAGAACTCAGGACCTGGAACCAGGTCGAAGGACCCTTGGGGGCGGCCGTGCTGTCACTGGCCCGTGTTTCCTGGTCCTTCAAAACCCCGTTCGTCTGGATCAATCACCTCGGGGACGAAATCCACCTCACCACCACCTCCCCCGCCAAATTGTTGTCGGACTTGAAGGTCGTTTGGATGAGACAACTCTCCGAGAGGGCTGCCCAGAAAATCGGGTTGGAGGGTGAAAGGCTGGATATGTCCGTTGCTAGGAGCCTTCTGTTTTCTGACGCCCTGAGTGCGGCTGAGAAGCGAATGTTGAAAGCTTTCCTATTGCAGAGCGTCTACACGAATTGGCGACTATTGCAAATGGGGTACATTATTCCTGACTCATCTTGCCCGCTCTGCGGTGCTATATCTGATGATTTGCATCACCGGCTGTTCCTCTGCCCTGCCACGAGGGCGCTGCGAGATGAATTTCTTTCAGAGTTGGTTCAGAATGTAGTCATGCACGGGAGCGGGAAGCGCCGCTTAATGTTAGGCCTCCAAGTTGAGCCGGAGAGCATCTGCTGTCCACCTGACGGTCTGGGGCATGAGCAGTACGAATTCCACTGCGTGGATCCTGGCGCGACTGTACTTGAAGCCTTTAGAGGCAAGAGGCTCTTCTGGGATGGATCTTGCTTCAAAGACGGACATCGGGTACATCACTGTTCTGGTTGGGCTTGTGTCTGTATCACTGGTCATGGCGAAGTGCACGCTTCGATCTCTGGTAAAGTAGGTCGTCTCCTACCTCAAACCAGCCCGGCCGCTGAACATGTAGGTTTTCTTGCTTCGTGTAGGCATGCACCTTATGCCAGCGAGTTCTGCACTGATTACGAGGGTCTTGTCGGTACCGCGGAGAAGGTTCCAGAGGCAGTTTTCGATCGAAGATCCTATTATGCTGGAGTGAAGCTTCTAGGGATCGGTGCCTTCCCCAGGCCGCGTGAGCAGCTACGCATTTCTAAAGTGAAAGCCCATGTAGATCTGAGCGACCTCACTCCCTACAGCGAGGAGTGGTACCAGGCCAAAGGTAACCATTGGGCCGACTTACTGGCCAAATCGGCGGCGCTTTCGCACGCGCGCCCCTCGGCAGCTGAGCTCGACGAGCATTCTCGCGAGTGCCATGCTTTGGCCCAGTACCTTAAATTCGTATGTAAAGCACTGCTGCACTGGAGCTCCCTGGCTCCCCCTCGGCCGAAGGAGCGGTTGGCCAGGGGAGGGACAGCTACGGGGCGAGGCCGCGTTGGTGCAGCAGCTGGCCAAGAAGTTTTGGGCGAGGCCGCAGGG